CCCGGCACCGCCCTATCAGCCCGGGTCCTCCACTCGCCCAGGGCCAACTGGTCGCACTCTGGTCCTGAGGGTAGTCTGCTGGACATCCCGGGAACCCGGCCAGGCAGCGGAACTGCTGTATCAGCACCACACGACACCCAGTGACAGGACACACGGTGCTAGGAGGCACGGGGGTGGGGGGTGGGGGTGGGGAACGGGGGCGCCTCGTCCACCCTATGTGCATACACGCTGAGGAAGGGTCCAGTGAGCCGAGAGTGAGGTGGGGCACTGCCTTCCCTGGTGTCTGGCCCAGCCCCTGGCCCAGGCCCCGCAGGAAGCAGTCAGCTCCCATTCGGCTCACAAGGGCCAGCCTGCCCCCATCCTGCAAAAGTGACCTGAAGAGACGCTCTACGCACCACTGTGGGGACGTCTGGCTGACCAGCATGCTGTGGTAAGCAGGAGCTCACCAGTCCCCGGGGAGGCATACACGGTCACCAGAGGGGACTTCCCTGGCAACACGGGTGACACGCATGGAGAACACTGCTGCCGTGAGCACACGCCACATCTGTGTGGCACTCGCCTTCCCGCAAGGAACCCCGTGTCTGGTGGCAGGGCAGAGCAATGGGCTGCCCGCGCTCCAAGGCCGCACACACCAGGGGCCATGCGCTCAGGCCCTAAGGCCCCGGGTCCCTCTACCCAAGCCGAACTGCAGGCTTCTCAGGGCGCTGTCGGCCCCTGGTGGAGAGGACCCGAGCAGGAAGCACAGAGCCCATGAAGGGTCCTGACTCTCAGGCCCGCCCGGGAATCCTGCTTTGCAAGTACCCCATCGCGCCACACGCTGAGCTTCCTGAGGAACAGGGCAGAGGGGGAAGCAATGCTGAGGATGCTCTAAAAGCACAAACTTTATGACCGTAAAACGCGGACTAGACATCGAACAGCTGGACAATACAAAAGAATATTGCCCATGATCTTTCAACGCAGCAACGATTACCGTTAATAACATTTTGCTGCACTGACTTGCACGTTTCAAGAAAAAAACCTACGCAAGCGAAACAGAGACACACTCAGCAAAGAGGACGATGTCCGTGGCAGTCCTGTGTCTTCCTGCCCGATGTTCTGTGGCGGCTCACCACGTCATTGTCTTCTGGCCATCCGCATCGAACCATCCGACCGACAACGTACGTGTTGGTTTTCAATTCTTCATTGTTAAGAAAAATTATACGTATTTGTATCTAATTTTTTTTTTAATTTATTTTGAAAAAATCTAAAATAGAGATGAGGACTGTGAACACAGTCTCACACACACCGGCCCCTGACAAATGTCATTATCTAGAAACGCCTGTTGTTTGCTCCGGCCTTTTTTTACAAGAGAAACAAGACACAAAAGCCCTTCTGTTCCCCTTCTGGGCTTCGCCTCCCTGTCTCCTCCACAGAGCAACCACGGCTGCCACCTGCAGGCACTTGGAGTGGCAGCATCAGAGACTAAACTGTGTCCCCTGAAAATATGTCTATCAGTCTGGCTGGGCCATGGTTCCCAGTATTGTGTGACTGTCCACCATTTTGTCATCTGATGTGATTTTCCTATCACGTTGTAAATCCTACCTCTATGACGTTAATAAGGTAGGACAGGCAGCAGTTATGTTAATGAGGCAGGACTCAATCTACAAGACTGGATTGTGTCTTGAGGCAATCTCTTTTGAGATATAAAAGAGAAGTGAGCAGAGAGACAGGGGGACCTCATACCACCAAGAAAGCAGTACCTGGACCCGGGGTCCCTGCACAGAGAAGCTCCTAGATCAGGGGAAGATTGATGCCAAGGACCTTCCCCCAGAGCCCACAGAGAAAGAAAGCCTTCTCCTGGAGGTGATGTCCTGAATTCGGACTTCTAGCCTCCTAGACTGTGAGAATAAACTTCTCTGTGTTAAAGCCATCCACTCGTGATATTTCTGTTGTAGCTGCACTAGATGACTAAGACAGGGGGTTTGACACGGTCTTCTGCCCACTCACCCTGCCCTGTCCCTGTGGTGCACCCTCCTACCCAGCACGTTCTGGACTACCCTGCACGGCCTGCCCGCGTTGCACATACCTTTCCAGTGTGTGGAGGGAGCAGGCCATTCTGACTCGGCTAGGTGTTCCCACAATCACTCCCCACCACTTAGGAGAACCCTGGATTTTGGCCA